TAAGATTAAGAAAATATATATTTGTCACGTAAGAAGAGGGAAGATTGCGAATATTAAAAAAATTAAAAAATCATAATATATTAGTTTATTAAGAAATAACAAAATATTTTGACGCCTTTACACCTTCTAATTAAAATTTTGAGAATTTTAATTTTGAGTTTGAGTCTTGGATACGTACTATGTTAAATTTTAATAGGGAGAATTTTGATGCCTTTATAATCCTAAACAGTTTGAATCTGGATTAGCACGTCGGCTTCCATCGGCAACCGAATACCCTATGATTTATAAAAAAAAGTCTATATAAATAATTTATATATTAAAGAAATATAATATAAAATTATTTATAAGCATTTACTTATTAGTTTAAGTTTTTAGTGGGACACATTTACTTTTATATAAGTGTGACAGAGAAATTTTTTCTGCAACAAAAGCATGAACATTAAATCCTATATTAAATTAATTTGAGGGTTGATGAAGATAATTTTATCTCATAATAATGGATAAACAATAAACTCATATTAAATTAATCTTTAAATGATAAATTATCAAGAAAAGATTAACTTAATATCACTAATAAATTACTAACCAATATAATACAACATACATTTTTAGGGAATTATTGATCTCCTGTAGCAGGAAATGTTTCATTTTATTCCGTAGAGACACAGACACAAACATATACAACCAATATAATACAACATACATTTTTAGGGAATTATTGATCTCCTATAGCAGGAAATGTTTCATTTTATTCCGTAGAGACACAGACACAAACATATACGGGGCCACCGGTTTTCAAAAAAATAAAAGTGTTGCATGATTTTCGAACTGTAAGAGATGAATAATTCTTCTTGTAACAAGAGAAATTATTCTCCATATTTTTATACTACTGAAATAAATATTTACTCTATTTTTTTATTTTATTATAAAATGTGAACCCCGGCTCTCACCACAAATCAAGGAAATACTAGTGGTAGTGGGATCAAAGTCAAAGAGTCTCCAATGGAATTTCCTGTAACCTTACAAATAATTAGGCACGCAAAAGAAAATATTAACTGTCGATCAATTTTTTTTTTAAATGAACAAACGTAAAGTAAATTAAAATTTCAAATTATTTTTCGAATCTCAAGTCCACATTTTTTTTATAATCTTTGTATAATTTTTTTTTTTTGATAACATCTTTGTATAATTTAATCCTTTATAAATACGTATAAGATCAAATTAATCCTTTATTTACAAGAAAATTATTTTTTAACAAACATATACTCAATAATAAATTAATCATTTAATTTTTTATTAGTGTTGAAAATTTATTTAATATAACGATGTAAAGGACTAATATTAATGAGATTAACATTTTTCATATTGTAAAAAATAATTTTATTTTTTACACATATAAAAGTGTATGTAGCCAATATGAGGTCACCTGAAGAGAAGAAAGAGAAGAAAAAAGTATGGGCTTCACATATTTTTATATGAGTGTAAAAAATAAAATTATCTCTTATAACATGATAAACACTAATTTCAATATAAATATATTACATATATTGTTAAAAACTAAAATAAGTATTTAATTGAGTGTAAAATGTGAACCACTGCCTCATTACAAGTTAAGGGGAATGCTAATGCCTACTGATTAGGTGAAAAGAAGAAAGTCAAAAGTCAAAAATGAAATTTCTTCCAACCATACAGTCAGACAATTAGGCATGACAAAAGGTCATCATCATTGTTGTGTTATCCCCTTCATCCCTCTTCAAAATCTACCATTCACTTTGCAGATTAGTTGAAGCTTTCGCCTAATCATGTGAAACTCGTTTTGTCAGAAAGTGAAATTACACCAAATAAAAAAAAAATTATGCACTAACCTCCATTATTATTATTTTTTAGGATAAATGTTTAATGAAAATGATACTTTTAAAAATGACTTATGAATTAAAGATTTTTGCAAGCATATGTCTTAAAAGACTTATTTTAGAAATTATAAATAAAAAATCACGCTTCTTTAACTTTTAATATTACAAATGTTTTACTTTTATTTCAAAACTTTGCAGTTTTCATTTTTTACCTTTAACTAATATATGCACTCTTGTTATTTATTAATAAAGTTCGTCAATAAAACATCATTATCAACGAAAATTGAAGCTAAGGCTTTTTAACAGTTAAACTAACCATCGTTGATTTAATTATTACCACTTTGAACTGCTAATTGAAGTTACTACGACTTATTTTTAAATATTATTTTCTCTCTGTTTGTTATCACAGAAAGTCAGCCAATCTTGTCAGCCAAAACTGGCATTTGACTCTTCTACAACAAATGGGTACTTACGCAACACTACATATACAGTATTTCAATCTGTCAAAATAGAGTGGATTGTAATTAAATAATATTTTATTTGTCCTTAAATTTGTGTGACATTCAATTTTTTTTTATCTTAGTGCTTCTTAAAAAAATAAAAAATAACAACTTAATTTATGACAAATGTTATCTATATACGAGTTTCTAAAGAATGTTTGACAAATATTAATATATATTTAAGATTGAGACTGAAAAAAATTAAGATAAGTGAAAAATAAAAAATAGATAAAATATAATTTATTTTTGAATTTTAATTATTTTTTTAATTGACAGATTGGTTGGTTGACTAGCCAACCTACCATAAAACAGGATGAATTTATTTTTTCAACCCATATTTAATGACGGGTCAACCTACTCCGCCCTGTTTTTAGCGGGTTGGTGACAGCGGGCCAACCCAAACTGTCACTCCTAATTTTTGGGTACAAACATTAAATTTTTTAATGGGTTATGTTTATCTCATTTTACATGAGATAAACAATTTTTATACACACACAAAAGAGGGTGGGTCCCGCCACTTTTTGTTTCTCTCTCATCTTACCTATGAGTCCCACTTATAATTTTATTTTTATAACATGAGATAATTATTATCTTACAATATAAGAAAAATATTTCTTTTTTTAATAGTTAATACCTTCTCTTAAAACAAAACTCTAAATGCATATTATACTAAATTTACATTCAACTGAAAACATAAAGCAGAATTGAAAAACGAATGGATTCAGTTATTAATTTTGGAAAAATAAAAGGGGAAAGATATTGTAACAACCAACTAGTGTTATTACCAATATTACTACCAATCAATTTCACCGTTCGATTGATTATGTTGATCCAACGATTATATATATTTCCATCTTTGAATGGTTATGATTTTTTATATTTAATGTGAAAACATTAAATATGGAGAATCATAACCGTACAAAGGTGAAAATAAATATAAAATATTAAATAAGGCGAATAATAACCATACAAAGATGGAAATAAAAATAACCGTTGGATGAATTACATAATCGATCTAACGGTGAGATTAATTAGTAGTAACACTAATTGGTTGTTACAATATCTTCTTCCAAAATAAAATTCTCAGTTTAAATATATAAAATATGTCACTTATATATATATATATATATATATATATATATATATAAACCTGTGCTATGTTGAGAAGCTTTTGAACGTGTGAAATGGAAAGAAAAGACTCATGAATTGAAAAAGAAAAGGAAAAGTAGTTCTCATTGATGATAGTCTCAATTGGATTGTGAAGCATCAACAACCCACCCCCCACCCCCCAAAAACGGTTAAATTCTTAAAAATTGTAGAACAATATTTATTTTATTTTTTGGTTTTCTTCTACAAAGTTTGTTAAGAAGGGAACGAGCAAATGATACTGATAGCTCAGTTGGTATATGAGAGTTGAGTAAGTGGTGTAAGAACTATGATTCAATCACTACCAATATTAATTTTGGAAGGAACATAAGATCTTAATTTTAAATTCGCCCTGCACTCGAAATTAATTCTATAACCAGTTTAAAGAACTGGAGTTTGTTAGAATATCGGAAGAAGCCTATTCTTCTCAAAGAAATAATTAGAGTTGGTATAAAAAAAAAGGAAGGAAATTACTTTTCTCTCTCTAAATATTTGAGAATGAAGATAAGTTAACTTTTGCTTCCATAAACTAATATATGTTCTGATTATTTTAATTTAATTTAATTTTAAAACAAATATTGGTTAAAATATTTTATAAACTAACTAATTTAAGGATTTAGTATTTGTCCTTTTAAAAAATATAAAGTTATGTCATTTTAAGTGAGAGAAATATATCGGCAATAGAAATCATGAGAGAGAAAGTGAATATTGTTTTTAAATAAAAAATACTAGGTTTTATTTACCAAAAAAAAACTAGGTTTTGATTTTCTCTTTTTTAAAATAACACAACTATATGTTCTTTAAAATGAAAAAAATATTTTTTACTTAATATAAATATATATATATTTAAAGAAAAAGGTGTTTTCTTATTTTGAATGATACAATTTTGTTGTTTTATTGCATAATTGGTATATTTTGCATTCTTTGTCTTCAACTTTTTTTTTTCTTTTCTAATTTTATGAAGAAGAGAGAATGTAAAAATTTATTAAATATATACCAAAATGATATTGTTTTATTTAAAATGAAATAAAGTTATATTTTTAAAATAATATATATTCTTTTCATATATAATGTAAAAAAAGGTTATTTATTTATTTAATAAAAAATATTTCCATTTACTAATCCATATCAATGAAAAAGAATTTTGGATGTACTAAAAAAAAAAAAAGAATTTTGGAACTTGAAGGCAAAATGTGTCTTCTCATTGGCCGGTCCTTAAAAATCCTCCATAGAATCTATTTGATTACTTTTTCCTATTTATTTATCTGAAAAAAGAAAAGTACTATATACACCGAAGGAATGAACAAAGAAAATTCACAAAAAGATGAAAAGGATAAGCGTGTACTATCAAGTGTCAAAATCATATCAGTCAAGTTTTTTTTTATCCTTTCAATGTTCCTATATGACAATTGTGAGTGCTCTAATATATATAAAAAAATTGTATCAGATACTTTTCCTAAAAATAACTAAAAACCTATTTATTTTTTTATTTTTTTTAAAAAGAGAGGTTGTAGCCTGGGACTGTGATCATCAACACTCAACACTAATCGTGTTAGTTATAAATACCATTCAAGGAGGAAAACTGTTAAATAACCAAAACTCCCAACACATCTCTTAAATTTCCACACTGTCCTAAATCTCCTTTGATTCTCCGATGGGCACTTCCATCCTAGACGCACTCAATGTCCAAGTCGAAGGATCCGGCGACCAATTCCTCGTCCTCGCCCACGGCTTCGGCACCGACCAATCCGCGTGGCAGCGCGTCCTCCCTTACTTCACTCGTCATTACAGCGTCATTCTCTACGACCTCGTCTGCGCCGGCAGCGTCAACCCCGATTACTTCGATTTCCGCCGCTACACCACTCTCGACGCCTACGTCGACGACCTCCTTAACATTCTCGACGCCCTCCGAGTCAACCGCTGCGCCTACGTCGGCCACTCCATCTCCGCCATGATCGGAATGCTTGCTTCCATTCGCCGCCCCGACCTCTTCACCAAACTCATCCTCATCGGTGCTTCTCCTAGGTAATAACAATAATAACATCATTAACAACAACAAAAAATCTCAATTAATTAATTCTTCAAATTTTTTTATTTTTTATTTTTAGGTTCTTGAACGACCGAGATTACCATGGAGGATTCGAACAGGGAGAAATTGAGCAAGTGTTATCGGCAATGGAGGCGAACTATGAGGCTTGGGTAAACGGTTTTGCTCCGTTGGCGGTCGGAGCAGATGTTCCGACGGCGGTTCGTGAATTCTCTCGAACGTTGTTCAACATGAGGCCAGACATATCACTGTTCGTGTCGAGGACCGTGTTCAACAGCGACCTGAGGGGGATTTTGGGTTTGGTTAAGGCACCGTGTTGTATTATGCAGACCGCTAGGGATATGTCTGTTCCGGCGACGGTGGCGACTTACATGAAGGAGCACCTTGGTGGCCGGAGCACGGTGCAGTGGCTTGACACGGAGGGTCACCTCCCTCACTTGAGTGCTCCTTCCTATTTGGCTCGCCAGCTCGAGATAGCCCTTTCACAGTAGCTAGCGCGTGGGACCTGGCGGCGCGTGGGAGTCTTCAGCGCGTGGGTGAGGGTGTGGTGCTTCATGAGTAGTTAAATCTAGTATACTAGCAGCTACAGGAACCTAGGCCCTGCTTAGAGAGGTCCTAGAAGACTTGTACGAAAGGCTCTAAAAGTGGACACCTGGCGAATAACGTGTGGGCGTTTGTTCTTCGACCGTGGGATTTTATTAAGGATAAGAATCTGCACGTGATTGTCACGTGATGCATGGCCAGTTTTAGTAGTTATGTTTTTCCCCTCTATTTGTAAAAGAAATGAAAGCAAGGATCTTGTTTTTTTTTTTTTTTTTTTTTAATTATTATTATTATTTATAAAAGGTCTTGTTTTTTCTTGGCTCTTTGCTTGTGTTTTTTCTAGTTTGATTTTTGGGTACTTCTGATAACATATCCTCATCCGGCTAGACAACTGAAAAGAAATGAAATGATTTTCAATTATATGATGCGACCTATGTACGGCATTTTCCAATTTTGTGATGGCTTATCCGTTAAACTATCAGCCTTTTTTGTTTTTCACTACAGCGAGAATAAATATGTTGTTCCTTTCTCGTTAGGATCTACAAAATGATTGGCCCACGTATTCATGGGCTTTGGCCTTGTTTATGTTATTGGTTCTTTCTTCGTAGTGCGGTTTTGAACAAAAAAGGAAAAAAAGGAAACTATAAAACTTTAACCCCAAAAATATTCATTAACCTCACTGTGGTCTAAGTGGCAAATCTGGAGTAGAATTTGATTTAGAGTCAGAAAGTTCAATGTATTATTCTTGTTGCAAAATTGGACACCACAGTAGGCATGGTCGAATCGAACCGAATTTTTTTAAAAACTGAACCGAATTGGTTTAAATGGTTCGGTTTGAAATGGTTTAGTTCGATTAGAAACAGTTTAGTTCGGTTCGAAAACAATTCGGTTTGGATCGGAAGTGATTAGGGTCGACTCTATTTTGAAAAGAAAAGAAATTAAAAATTTAAAAAATAAAGTTATTAAAATCAATTTAGTTCAGTTCGGTTCTTAAACTGGTTCGGTTAACACAAAAAACACAAGAACTTGGCCTAGTTAAGAGACAATCTCGGTAGTAAACAAATTATTTAAGATTCTCGACCTCTTTACTTGTCAATTGTGCGAGCATCAGTGTTGTTAAGCAGAGTAGAAACGAACAAAGCAAAAGATGAAGAATTTGACGGCTGTATTCTGCTTTCATATGTTTCAACTCTGAATCACATGAATTAAAAGGTATATATAACTGAACTGTACAAGGCCGGAATTGAAGTAAAACTTAACAAGTTTTTGAAGTTATAATATCTTTTTACTGCTTGAAAAGAAATATGGCTTGGCTTTGCAAGTAGAAAGTTGGATCACACCTGCACTATCAAAGAACAATTATAAAATAAAAATTGTAAGACCTATGGTTTTTTAGTCCTAGTATGCATATGATACTCGACAAATATTAAATCTTAAAGGCCGCACTTTTCAAATATGAGCAAATAACTTCGTTTTAACTTATTAATATATCGGGTTTCCTTCGGTGGACATATTAAATTAGGTGTTTGGTATTATAAAATCTTGAAGATTCTAGGTATGGCATTTTCTTTTTCGGTCTTAATTTTTTGAGACTTAAGCTAATGTCAATTAAATTATAAGTTCTTTCACTCTACTTTTGGATTTAGAATCAACTTTTTTTTACGTGGAATTCGTGTTTTTATTTTCTCTCTCTTCTCCTTGCATGACCTAATATGGATCCCACACATTTATCGTGTAGGAAATTTTTTATCTTTTATGAGAAACAATAAATCCCTATTTTAGTTTGAGAAAAAATAATAGTTCTTTATTGATAATTGTTCGATTGGGCCAAATCAGAGATGTGTACCAAAAGTGTGGGCGTTTCTATCTACAAAGTGATGAGAGAGATGACTAGTAAGGAAAGCTCAGTACCTTTGGCCAATTGTGCGATGGAAGAATCAGGGGTGTGTGGGTGTACACTTGGGATAATGTGAGTGCTCTGGTCGAATACTAGATGAAGATACTCATCGTATAAACTGTTATATGCTTGTGTGTGTCTGTGTTCCTGACAGTGTATCAACCTCTTATAAGGGCCTTGTGGCAGTTGAATGAGAATGGAGTTAAACATAGCGTGGTGATTGTGAGTTGGGTGGCGGTTGAGAGATCGTGGGTGAGAGTCACAATGCGGGATGGAGGAATCTGACTTGCTCACACGTGAAGGAAAGTTCTACTCTTGACAGGGTGAGAGACATTGGTCCTCGTTTACTACCATAATAACACATTACTAGGCATGCATGTAACCTCATAAAGACTGTCATAATTTGACCAGTTAATAGTATTCACTCAAAACAATATCGGGCTTATAATGGCATGATCATCAATTGTTATAGTGTACGTATTATCACATTAACTGGTTCAATTTTCTTTTGTTTCTTCTTTCTTCTTTCTTTTACATAACTTCAAGACTATGAAAATGACAAAGATACGATTAAGCTCAATACTGAGTACATAAGAATATACACTTTGGAAGAACCTTTTGATTCTTATGGTTTGTCATTAAGAAAAAGAATTTTTTGGTAACGAATCATTTGAGAAAAATAAAAAATACCACTCGTCAAACTTTTTTTATAGCTCTGCCATTTTTTTTTTAAAATATCTCAATTTTATTTGTATATTAATTGCAAGACCACATATATGTAATTAAATTATAATCACTTTTTGGAGTAGTGCAACAAGGCCAAAGAAAAGAACATACACGTACAATTTGTCAAACACCCCCGAATACTAATTGACAGAATCTTGTTCTCTTTAAAAAAATAATAAAATTCCTTAGCTATTTTCCTTTTTACTGTGAAATGAAGTACTTGTTAGTTATTAAAGATATTTAAACCCCTTTTCAGGTGGGTATCGGATGCTTGTCCTACTTGAGAATCGGATTTTAGATAAATGATCTTTGAATAAATGCTGGGTTTATGTAATTGAGCACTTGTTATTTTGTCTTGTTTTTTTAACCTCCACTTTATAATTATCACTGTTACACTCAAGAATGGGCGAGGCCAATAATTCAGTCCAACTTGGGCTTCTTATAAATATATCTGATGACACTCCACCAGAGGACTTTGTTTAGAAGCTTACAATATGATACTGGACCTCTTCAGGTCACTCAATTTTTAAATTGCTTGTTATTTTCATTCTCACCCTTTATAAAATCTATGTTATCCTAATAACCAAATGACAATTTTTTTTGTTCACCTTTGAAGGGGTGTCTATCATATAAATCAGGTGGTTGACTGGATTGCCAACTACCCTCGTTCTTTAGAGTTGGGTTTGCATTTGTTGGATCAAGCAGCGGGCAATTTCTATTAATAGAGGGGACTTTCTTTCATGAATGGTGTAGTTGTTTAGTTGGGACCTTGCCTCTCCTTTGTAACAAATAATAATAGGGGAATACAAGTCTCATGTCGTAAGAAACTTGTTATATTTGTTATGACACAAGGCATGTAGGGCACACTTTTTAAAAAAAATAAAAAATGTTGACAAAACTTTTGATGTATGAATAGGAAGATATATTATTTCATGTAACATGAAAAAAATATACCCCATTATTATATAGCTACGTTCATAATTTATACTTAAGCAAACATTTGTTTGATGGGAGGGAATTCACATAAACTTTTTATAACATCAAACAATGTTTTAAACTTCATAAATTATACAAATTTTTTTTTCATAGCACTTACATTGCAACAACTTCAGAAAAAGTCACAAAATTCCCAAACAACGTCTAAGATAATCGATGATCGATGGATGCCTGTATACATAGATTAAGTAAAAATTTGATAAAATCAAAGAAAAAAAATAAAGTGAGATAAGTTATATATAGTTCTATTCATAGTTGGTTTAGATTTATGTAGCGTGTCTTTACAATTCCATATAGTTTAATATTTTTTAACGAAATAGCGGTATTTAGAGGTGTAAATGAGTTAGGCTACGCTAAGCTTTGACCTTCATGGCTTAAGTCTATGTAAAAATATATTGAGTCTATTTGGTCTATTAGCTTATTAAAGGCTTAGTTTATAGATCAGATCTGACCTATTGTTAAAAAATAAAAAGCATAACATGGCCTATGAGACCTTCTAGGTCTACTAAATATGACATATTTATAAAAACAATATTAAACCAATAACCCATACGAAATCAATAACAAGAATCAAACATATGAAACCAATAACAAGAATCAATACTTAATAACATGAATTTAAAGGAAGTCAAATCCCTTTTAATATTAAGACCAACATATGAAACCAATAAACCCATATCCAGCTTCTCATTCAAACAAAGTTCAAAACAATTTGCCATAACTAAATTAGGATAAATAAATAATATATATGATAAATATATTATTTTATTTAAAAAATTAAATAGGTCAGCCTACATGCTTTTAGGCCAGGTTTTCATAATTGGTCTATAGCCTTATTTTTAAATAGGCTTCTCTACAAACCTAAACCTATTTTAATTTCCTAATAGGCTAGGCATAACATAGGACAGGCTATAGACCTTTATAGGCCAGCTTGACCCATTTACACCCTATTGTTACTCTCCTAAAAACACTGGGAGCCCTGTATTGTTACCAGGCCCAATAGACTTGTCCCATCAAAGATCAATGGATTCAGCTCATCCGGAGACTGAAGTTAACTTATTTGATAAAGCTAACTTAACCACTAAAGCTAGTTAGTTTAGTTGAACTGAGTTTGTTCTAACTTGTTAGCTTGGGAGTTAGCTAATTGTTGATGTATATAACATTCGATCTTGTACTTTTCAGCTCAGTTGATGAATATACAATCATTTTCTCACTTCCAGTTCTCGTTCGCTTTCTTACTTTTCTCTGCATGCTGATGCTTATCTTGTAAGATGGTATTAGATTTCAACACATTCTTTTCGCTGATTCTCTGATTCGCAACTCTTTGCTGTTCATTGTGTTTTTCCATTGTGGATTTTGGAATTCATGGTGAATCCAAACCATCTTCTTCCAGGTTTCTACACGGATCCTGGAAAACCTTTTTCCCTTCACCTGAGCAAAAGTTCGAGGTTGGTGCTTGTTTCTACACGAATTTATAATATTAAAATCGAAAGAAATTTTTTATAAATTTTTTTAAACAAAATTTTTTAATATATAATTTTATAGTTATTTTAAAAAATAAAAAATTTAAGAGGTTAGAAAAGATAAAAATTAAAAAAGATAAACTAAAAAACAAAAAACAAAATAAAATTATATAATAGAAAATAAAGTTTTAAAATTAAAAGAAAAATTGTCATATAGTATAATAACTTTTATAAT